AGGATGTCCCAAAATCCGCGGATTTCCTTTCAAGTGCGGATTCTTTAAAATATTCTAAGACAAAAATCCTAATACGAAAATGTCGAGACTATAATAGTTTTTAAATTAATAGCGATTAAAGTTGGCTAATCACAGAGCTGATATTTTGCGCGCTCAAGCACGATGATATGACAAGTGATAGAGATGCTACAAGGATCCTCTTAATAACGCCGAGATTATCATACAAATATGCAATAATATTTGTGCTAAAAAATTATTTTTTTTTATACAAAACCTATTTGTAAATTAAATAATCAATTAATATCGCAACATATGAAAAAATATTAATACAATTACGAGATATTACAATTTATGTCAAAATGAATTCATAACTATGTTCATTTATCTCGTATGGTAAATATTTTTGTAATAGGTAAACCACTTTTAACAAAGAATTAAAGAGAATTGAAAAGAATTGAATATGTTAATACAGTAAGACTGAAATGAAACATTACATTTCTATTACAAAAATATTCACCATACGAGATTAGTGAATGAACATAGTTATGAATTCATTTTGACAGTTGACACATATCGAAACATCTCGTATTTATATTGATATTTTTTTCATTTATTGCAATATTAATTGATTATTTAATGTACAAATAGGTTTCATATAAAAGAAAAAATAATTTCTTAGCACAAATATTATTGCATATTTGTATGATAATCTCGGCGTTAAGAGAGTCTCGTAGCACCTCTATCACTTGTCATATCATCGTGCCTGAGCAAAATGTCAGCTCTGTGATTTGAAAACTTTAATCGCTATTAATTTAAAAACTATTATAATCTCGACATTTTCGTATTAGGATTTTCGTCTTAGTATATTTTAAAGAATCCGCACTTAAAAAGAAATCCGCGGATTTTGGGACACCCTGTATATACACACAGAAAATAAGAAAAATTAAAAATTAACAAAATAAGATATCAAGAAATTTATATAATAACCTGGTTTAATGTCTTCAAGGCAGACAGTGATAAGTCAGTCAATGATTTGATTTCAGGTTCAGTATTTGCTATCCTTGACATACCATTACACAATTGCGTCATTTCTTGCTGCTGTATTTTCGCATCCATTATTTCTGAATTACAATTTTTCTTGCACAAATCAACAGTCATATTCATTTTTGACGAATTCGAAGATACCAAAATGTCCAAATTACTATTTCTTTCACATTTTTTTGTATTTGACTGTTCCGTTGTGATATGTTGTGATACGTTATTAGAGTCATAAGATAAATTTTGTTTACGAATAGGATCGTAGATGCTTTGAATTTTTGTCACGCTATTATTTGTTTTGCTGCAAAAATATTAAATAATAATTTTTCTTTTTATTTACAATTTTTGGAAAATTTAAAAATATACGACTTAAAACCTAAACTGTTGATGCGCCTTAGAATTTGACCAATTCAGCTAATAAGATTTAATAATGTAAGTTTCTAAACTAATCGGATCGCGTAAAGACACTCGTTTGTTTTACTATGTGTAGTAAGGTGTGTGTCTCTTGGCATGAGATAATACTGTGTCTCTTGACACATTCACAGTGTTAAATTATTTTGTCTATTAAATTAATTATTTTAATAAAAAATACTTTGACAAAAGTTCTTTAATTTTTAAGTAGATACGTAATAATATTTATATGATTTTAAATAACTTTGTCATGGAAACATAAAAGTCGCTTTGAATTTTATCCTCATATTTATTTGCATATTCTTCTCTACATAATATCGAAATGTCTTTAAATCAACCTTTTTTCATGAAAAAATTCTCAAGTTATTAACAATAGAAATTATAATATCGTTAAAATATTGCAATATCCAATGCCTGAATTCTGAGTATGTCATATGGAAACTAGGTCAAATTTATTTCTCATTCATTTATTCATTTGTGTGTGCAAAAATTTAGACTTGCAAGAACAATTTATTTCAAGTTTTTATATAAAAAAAATTTTTTTGCAAAGCCTAAACACATTGTGCCAATTAATGCGTACTACTAATATATTTTCCGTATCGCTTTTTGATGTATTATTCCGTCTTTCAACATGTGCAATTATTCTTAATGTTTAATCGTCAACAAATTGTCTAAATGACAAACCGTAAGAGAGTCTAAAATTTCTTATTTATTAAAAATCCTTTATCTACTTTTAACTTATATAAACTAAGAAACTCGTTTATGAGTAAAACAGATCGGCTGTATAAGAATATACTTAAAGAAAAACAGCTGTGTACTGGTTCGTATTTAAAGATAAATTAGAAAAGAAATAAGGTAATAAATGAGCAATCAAAAGATGTTCGAAAATATATAAAATTATATCATTTAATTTAGCAACATTAAAGTGGGACTATTCAACTCGCTTTCGGTCTGATTATCTTTGATTTTTTAAAAAAAAGTTAATAACAATGAATTCAAACAACACAATTCTATTTAAAATATTAGACTAAACACTATGAATTCTCTCTTATTAAGATACGAACCTAGTTTTTAGGACATTGAAAAAAGATAATTTTCGCGAATTCTTTTAAAGAAAAGAAATATAAAGTTGATTTTTCCTATACTTTAAGGACTTTATTACATATTTATAACTACACACTAAATTTTTTAATTAAAAAAATTCAAGATAACGTCGTAATTAATCAGAATTGAAACTACTGAAGTTACAAAATAACGGGAAAGCTGGTAATTTTTGTCTGAAAAAACCAAGAAATATTTTTAATTTTCATATAATTTTATAATCGATGAATTAAAAATATTTGTAAAAAATTAATTTAAACAATTTGTAATGCATAAAGTATTTTTTTTTTCAAAAATGTTACTTTTTCTTTAAAGTCCTAAAAGTTTTACAATTATATATTTTATTATTTCTTTTAGTTTATCGACTATACAATTATATGAAAATTAAAAACATTTTTGGTTTTTTGTCAGACAAAAATTATCATTTTTCCCGTCATTTCGTAACTCTAGTGGCAAGATATTTCAATCACTGATTAATTATAACATCATTATCTTCACTATTTTTTAATTAAAAAATTTATTGTATAGTAAAAATATGTATTAAAATATTTCTAAAGTTTCGGAAAAATTGCTCTTACTTCTCTTCATTAAAAAAAATTCGCAAAAATCAGCTTTTTTCAGCGTCTTAAACTAGATTTTCCCTTAAAAACATTACATGTTTTCCGATTAAAGTAATGTTATTAGGGGATGCAATTCATTTTTGCCGTTTTTTTCTTGAAAAACGCATTTATTTCAATAAGAATATAAATTAATATCTTAATCAAAATATTTTTTGTTTCCTATTACTTTTTCCCATCTTTTTGCAAAAGTTGGATTTCACGATAAAACAAGCTGTCTTTTGAAATAAGCCATGTACCACCCATTTTTTTGTTTGTTCGTAATTGGAAAAATGTGTATTAGCAAGCGCGTGTTGCATCGATCGGAAAGGATGGTAATCAGAATGCTCGAATGACAAGTTCTCCAGCACCCAGCCTATTCTTTAGACTTGCCCCCATCGGATTATCATCCTTTTCGATCGATGCAATACGCGCTCGCTGATATACATTTTTCCAATTACGAACAAATAGAAAAATGGGTGGATACATGACTTGTTTCAAAAGACAGCTTTATCGTCGCGAAATCCAACTTTTGCCAGAAAGATAGAAAAAAGTAATAGAAAACGATAAAAAATATTTTGACTAAGGTATTAATTCATATCCTTATTAAAATAAATGCGTTTTCTGTACAATAAACGTACGCTATATATAGAGAAATATGTAGAATCTTAATTACGAGAAAACTTTTCTCTATTTGGCTTTCTTATATAGTAATAGATAGAAAAGCTACATAAGCTTGAGAATAATTATTTTAGATAATATATCTGTACCGAATAATAAAATCTGTATCCTCTTAATTAGTTTCTCGAGTGTTCTTGTAATGTCTTTTATCATTTCTTGACTCGAGACTCTCAAGTGAATAATGTTCACATTAAACTCAATGAACCAGTTGAATGTTCACTTTTTGCCCTGATACTGGGTCTCTTGAGCAGTTCTAATTAAGTCTGAAACCCTTGGCGATCCCAATTTAAATACATTTTGTTAAAATCAATTTGTGAAACAAGTTAAAACACGATCAAAGTCCTAAAAGCCATATAATCAAAAGTGACGTCTGTTGGTTTTAGGATATTTAGGAGCTGTTTTCTCCGAAATAGTGAGTCGCTCCAAGCTAAAATTTTTTTGGCTTTTTTGTTGGCTTTAGATTGATAAGATTTTTCATTTGATACCATTTTCAAACCGGATTTTGATGTAACAAATTTGAAAATAATGATCTATTATTCCATGACATAAGCTTTTAAGCTAACTTTGTATGCCCAAGGGACATTCATAATAATAAATGTTATTATCTAACACCTGTTTCAACTGTTATCAAAAGCATTTTTCGATAAAATAATATGATTAAAATCATTCAGCAACAACAATTAATGCTAAATCATGTCTTGCCTAATATATTTAAAATATTTAATAATAACTATAATATTTATCTGTAAATTCTAAATACGTTTTTAATTATTTAAACTGCGCACCGATTACTGTCAAACTTTCAACGCACTCATAAACTAATACTGGAATCATTAAGATCAGAAATTAAATTAATTTTCAATTTAAAGAGGTTTTCCAGCTTAAAAAAAGTGAAGAGGAGTTATATGACTTGTCCTGCTTTTTAACATAGAAAAGAAAATCATTGCCATCTTACCATCTTATAAAAAATAAATATTTATGTAGAAAAATTTGTACAAAATTATTTGTAATAATAATTTAAATGTAATATTAATATTAATAATTCTAATGAAAACGTGACATTTAATTTGTTTAATAGTTGGTAATACTTAGAAAGCCGAAACTGATAATCAAAAGTGCCGAAATGCCATAGAAAAAAAATATAATATAAAGATCAGTTTACCGATAAAAAATTAAGGAAAAAAATACATCAGTGTACTTTTGATAAAAACGATAAAAAAAAGAAAAGGTAAAAAAAATGATAAGTATAAATTTATTTCTTGTCAAAGGATGTTGATTAATTGACTTAGAAATTATATGTCATGCCATATGAATTATCGACGTTGATTTCACTAGTGTAATGTCATTATCTAAATAGATTTGAATAATTCATGAACATTTTAATTTTATACGAAAATAATACAGTAAAAATTCATTTTCTTAATTCCAAAATATTCTTTAAACTTTATTCTTATATGGATATAACTTTATATGGATATAACTTTTCCATTTTCTTATATTTTGTTTACAAAAAATTATTTAAAACTCTTTCTCGTAAAGATTTAAGCTGTTTTAAAAAATTATTTAAAGAAAATTATATGGTTAAAAGTTTTGAAAAAATTCAGAAATGTCTAAATATTTAAGAGAATGCTGAAAGGTCGGCCAAATTTGTACAAGGTCGATAAAGCAGACTCTTCAGTGTCAGTGGTATCTCTAAATGAACTTTTTACAAAATCTTCTGGTTTCACTCAAACACGTGTGGAATGTCCTTATCTAACTTATTGAAGTGCCATCTCTTAGAAAATAGATCGGAAGAGCACACGTCTGA